TGCATAGCCTCGAACTAAAGAGTTTTACCCATCAAGTATCAATTTCTTACAATCTTGCCTCAAAAGCCACATTTGGAAAAATCTAAAAGGTTTGGGATTGCTAACTAGTTGAGGTGAAAGATAAAAAATTAAGGCATGATGGTTTGAGCCCCATTTTGGTCCTAGATCAAGACTTGCATTAGGATAAACCACAAGCTAATCTGGGAATACTAAGACTCTTTCCAAGGTTCTAGTTACAGGACCTTTCCCTTGGATAAATCTGTGCCGAGTAAATCTTCCCTTATTATTCCTCATTTGCTATCAATCCTAATCCCTAATCAAATTAATGAAAGCAAGTGTAACTCGAACTCAACTTGACTTAATCCACTACATCACAAGGCCATCTTCATCAAGCCTCCCAAATTCATTTAGGTCTCCAATAAATATCATCAAATAATGCAAACCCACAAGATAGTCATACACATGGGTCCAGAAATCCTGACATTTACTATGATTGGATTCACCATATAAAGAAAACAAAATCCAAGGAATAGACACATGATGAGAATCAACTCTAGGGGGTATTTGTTTTTTGGATTTTGAGAGGGGGGAGGGGAAAGTTGGTCAATGGGATTTTGGTTCCCATAGATCAAGATACCCTTGTTCTTTCTTTAGATTTATGTGGGATTCATGGAAAATTTATTTACTCAGAGTATCACTTAGCCAAGTAAGTGATACTCATTTCCTAGGTGGGTAAGTAACTTTCCCACCTAAGGAGAAAGTTGCTAATACTTGTGTGGGACAGAACTACCCCTTTTAAATAATTGATTTTCATAACTAAAACATTCATTGTCTTATTTACCTGGGAAAGAGGAGAACATGGGTAAATATACTTACCCAGGTAAGTGATTCTAGGAAACACTTACCTGGGTAAGTGCATTTACCTGGTTAAGTAGCTTCTCAAAAAACAAATGGGGCCTAAGCACTATACCTCAATGACACTGAACTAAAATGGAGATATTAAAATCACTTTCCAAACAACCAACAAACCACCAACAAAGTCAATAGGGGGAATCTTAGTTTTGCTAGGAACAATAAGATCTAGGTTCCACCTAGCAACTAAGTCCTTCAATCCTCAAACTACTAAGAGGTGACTACCCACCCTTCCGACAGTTCCAACTACAAATCCTCATGGGCCCCTTGTAGCTGTTTAGGGCTAGCCAGCCACCACCCAAAACCAAACACATCGAGAGCAATATATAGCACCTTAATTGAGTATAAAAAGTGCCTCCAATAGATCCCCTACTACCATCCTAAACACGTTCTCTGTTTGTTAAGCAAGACAAAAACAAAAACAGATAAAAAGTTTTTAACAAGAACACAACTATAAGAAGTAACTCCACCATAATTAGTACCGTTATTCTTAAAAAAGGTCTTACCCGACCCTTCACCTATTTCTCAGATCTGAATACATGATTCCATTCGTTGACGCTTTACAGACCAACTGCTTAAGTCATGAACTCTTGGAAGATCTAACTTTCTAACAACCATGCCAGCTTTCTAACGGATATAGGAAAATCTCCTATCCAAGTACTTAGACTCACTTTTTAAGATTTCTAATTCCCTGTCCAAACTTCTTGCCACCACTGGCAAGATGTTATCATTGCTCTCCTCTTTCCAGTCACATCTCTCCCAATTCCTAAAACTACTTTTTGAACCACCCTTTCTACTGCACTACCATCTTCCCCATCTCCCTGTATTACTTGCTCTTGAGCTCTACCAAATTCCCTATGTTAGAGTTGGTAGTATAAGGGTAGCTTAGTCATTTGTCATTTAATTAAAGGTGAGTTGTCTATTTTGTATGTGTTTAAGTTGTGTGTACCATACTTAATGAGGAAAAGAGTTGTCTTTTGTATTCTAATGCATAGATTATGGATAAAAGGTGGGTCGACTAAGATTGAGAGACTGTTCTCTCTGGCCGAACCCTTTTTTTCTCTGCTCTCTTCTTTCTCTTCTTCTTCTCTCTTTCTTTCTTACTTCAGACCTAGGACAAAACTAGTGTTAATTGAACCATTAACATGGATCCAGGGCACTAGAAATCAATTTTCTTCCTTTCTTTTCTCCTTGGATCACCATTTCAGACTTGAGATTTTGAAATATCTCATCAACCAATTGGAGGATCGATAAGAGGCCAAAAAGGACTGGTTGTTTTTCCTTTAGGAGGTAACTATGCCTCTAGTTGTTGTGGCAGTGTTCATCTTAGTGTTTTGCTAGAAACCCTCTACTCAATGACTTGAAGAGGGCTGGTTTGTGGACAGGTGTGAATAAAATTCTATAGTCGGTTGATAGCATGGTGTTTTTCTCCCTCTCTTGGATTGGATTTCAACTATGTGGTAGTGCTGATTGGTAGGTATGCATAGGGACTACTTTTTTCTATTTATGTCTAAATGTGTGTGACAACAGTAGGGTTTTTGGTGTTGAATCCTATGATAGTGAGTGTCTCATCAATAGTTGTTTAATTGTGGTGTGGTGTGTGGTGTAGTGAGTGCTGAATAGTGAAGGGTGATTTCTTTGTGGTTAATTTTATTTTTATTTACAATGACAACAATCGAAGAGGGTAATGATAGAAAATGGGTGTTATGATTTTTCCTAATTATCTAAATGTACAAATGACCTCTATCAAATTAAATGGTGAGAACTATGTACCATAGGCTAAATAAGTGGAAGTGTTTTTGAGAGCCAAGAAGAAGGTGGAACATATGAAGAAGGAGAAACCCTCATCTAACTCTTAGGGGTATAGTGAATGGGAACAGGATGATGCACAAATTATGATTTGGTTGTGGAATAGTACTTAGCCTAAACTTAGTGTGAATTTTATGTTCTTGGATACAACAAAGAAGATTTGGGACCATGCTAAAAAACTTTATTTTGACCAAGATAACACCAGTAGAGTATACCAACTTTATTAGAAGTATTTTAACATAAAACAGAGAAATTAGTGCCTAGAGGAGTATTATTCTAGTATTAGAAACCTTCGTAATGAGCTTAATGTGTATCACTCTATGATTTCAAATGTTAACATTTAGCAATTGTAACGACAATAGCTTGACGTGACAAGGTTTTTAGTGGGACTGAAATTTGAATATGAACCTATYAGGGCACAAATACTAGGCATATCTACTTTTCCCTCTCTTAAGGAGGTGTTTTCCTAGCCCCTAAGGATTTTTATTGAATGTTCAGAGCATTCCACCCTCTTAGACAAGTTTGTTTTTGTGGTGGCAAGGGTGGGAGGTCATGGAAATAGAGGTGGTGGAGGTGGACATGGATTTTCCAGGGAACCGAGGTGGTCCTATGTTTAACCGTACTGGTGGTCAAGGTGAAGGTCGAGATTTGGGGGAAGGTCATGGTAGAAGACGGAGTAATGGTCCTAGGAGGTGTACATATTGTGGATTAAAGGGACATACTATTAACTCATGTTATGGCTTCCATGATCCGCCCAATACTTGGGCCAATTATGCTGTGACTAGTGGTGGCGGCATAGTTATTGAACCAACAAGTTGATCAAACACCTCCACATCTACTAGTGCTTTTAGGAAGGAAATGGTGAGTGTCTCTCGTGATGAGTGTGAGAAATTTCTTTAGACATCCTCTCAGTAGAACATAATTACTCTTGTTCATTCAGGTATGGTTTGCTTGGTTTCTAAACCTTCACATTGGATTATTGACTCTGGAACCTCTGATCATATGATTAGGACTCTAGGTGTGTAGTCTTCTCTTTCCCAGTCTTCCACATCCCAAACAATTACCTCCGCTAATGGTTCTACTTCTCCCATTTGTAGTGTTGGTGATGTTGACCACATCTTTATCTTTATCCTCTATTTTATATGTACCTAAATTTCTTTTTAACATGTCTATTACTAGATTGAGTAAATATCTTAATTGTTCTATAAATTTTACCCCTCCGCTTGTGTGATTCCAGATCTCAAGACGGAGATGAAGATTGGTGGAAGCCATGAAGCAGGTGGATTATATTACCTTGATAGTGGTGGTCTGAAAGTAGCACTTCAGTCTTCTCCCACTCCTCTCCAGTAGTAATATAAATTTGGTCATCTGTCTCTCAAGGCCCTAAAGATACTTGTTTTGTCATTATGTCATCTTTCTTCTTCAGATTGTGAGTCGTGTTAGTTTGGAAAACATCATAGAACCTCTTTTAGTCCTAGGGTTGATAGTCATGCTTTAAGTCTTTTTTCATTAATTCATTCAGATGTTTGGGGTTGTACTATGGTTACAAGTACTTTGTAATTTTTGTTGATGATTATTCAAGGATGATGTGGCTTTATCCTATGAAAGATAGAAGTGAACTATTTTCTAATTTAAAAAATTCCATGCTGAAATTTGTACCCAATTTGGTGTCCATATTAAGATTCTTCATTCAGATAATGAAAAAAAAATATTGTTAAACACCATTTCAATAATACATAGAACAACACAGTGTAATTCATCAAACTTCTTGTTCTTACACTCCACAATAGAATGGTGTGGCTGAATGGGAGACYGACACTTGGAGTGATGTCCTTACATCATGTTTTCTCATCAATCGAATGTCTATGTCTATCCTCGGAAGTCGGTCACTTTTCTTGGTTTTGTTTCCTACTCTATCTTCATTTCCTCTTACTCCTAGAGTTTTTGGTTATATCTATTTTGTTCATAATTTAGGGCCTAGGTTGGACAAATTAGATGAACATGCTACAAAATGCATCTTTCTTAGCTATTCCAGAACCTAAAACGAGTATAAATGTTACAACCCTAGCTTTCGTTGTTCATTTGTGTGTTCAGATGTTACTTTCTTTAAATCTGTCATCTTCTCTTTTTGTTCTGGTGTTCCCCATCCTCGTCTTGTGTTTCCTCTTCCTATTCTAGTTGACGACTCCATTCTTACAATTCTTGTTGTGTCTCAGCGATCGTCTTCTCAAGTGCACGTTATTACTGAAAGACCACCAATTATGCAAGTGTGTACTCACAGAGGGTACTGGCTCCTCTTCTAGTTCATTCCTCATTGATAGATCTAGTAGTTGTTCATCCTCCTTCCAATCTTGATCTTTTCATTACATTGTGAAAAGTTAAACATAGTTATACTTCTCATCCTATTTCCCATTATGTTTTGGTTGTTCGCCTTTCTACTTCTTGCCGACAGTTTATATCTCTATTATCTTCTATGTTCATTCCTAGAATGTCCAGGAAGCCATTATCTCTTCTGCGTGGCATTAAGCAATGGAAGAGGAATTGTCTATACTTGTAAACAATAACACATAGGAGCTTACCACTCTCCCTCCTAGTAAGCATGCTATTAGATGCAAGTGGGTGTATACAGTAAAATATCTCCTAGGTGGCAGGGTGGATCAGTTGAAGGCTTGATTTGTAGCAAAAGGTTACTCTCAGTTGTATGGTGTTGATTACATGAAAATTTTTTCTCCTATGGGTAAGTTGAAATATTTTTTGAGAATAGAAGTTGCAAGATCAAGACATGGTATTAACTTGTATCAAAGAAAGTATATCCTTGATTCTCTCAAAGAGACATGATTGCTAGGTGCCAAACTGGCTAAAATACCTTTGGAATCAAATGTTAAGTTAAATATTGATGCAGGTGAAGATTTGGTGAGTGAGTTTAACTACATACTAACTATTACTTGGCCAAATATATCATTTATAGAGAGTATGGTGAGACTGTTTGTGCAACATCCTTGAGTTCCACATTGGGATGCAATTCTAAGGATTGTTAGATACTTAAAGGGAGCTCCAGGTTGTGGACTATTATATAAGAATGGGGATACTCTTGAGATAAAGGGGTACACAAATGCTAATTGGGCTGGATCTATTTCTGACCGGAGATCTGCTACAAGGTATTGTACTTTCCTTGTGGGAAATCTGGTAACTTGAAAGAGCAATAAACAAACTTTAGTAGCAAGTAGTGTTGAAGCTAAATATAAGGACATGACACATACTACATGTAAATTAGTGTAGGTTGAATGGATTAATGGATTAGATCGTGCCTTGTTAGAATATATATATATATATATATATATTATCAATAAATAATGTATTATTATATTATACATGTAGTATATGATAGTGGGGTAAGGCACCTATGGCTATTGGGATCCATAGATCTCAAAAAGTTATCGGACATTGGAGCACAAAGTTATGACTTCTAAAAGTTTGTATACACATTTAGTGTGTGACTCATAACCTAGTCACTAGGTCGAATAGGTCAACTTTCCAACTACTAAGGTTGAACGATTTTTGACAAATTCATGGGTGTACATGGGGCTCGGAATTATAGCTGCGTGATGGTTCACATGGTACAATTGGTTGAGTCAATAGCGAGTTGAAAACACTACCAAAACCCAGTAAGGTTCAGAAGAGATATTCTTGATTTTACATGGAAAACCTGCATTAGCATCTATTAACTTCAAGAAAGAATGAATATGAGTAGGGGTTTTCAATATATGGTCTAGACCACTAAATCAAACTAAATCAAAATGAAATTGGCAGTTTGTTATGGTCTAGCCTTAAACGGTTTGGTTAGGTATGAGAATTCCTCAAACTATAATTTTTTTGGTTTGGTCCAATTTTTAAAATTTTAGAAGCTAACCCAAATTGTAAACAATATTAACTAACATGCGTTTAACATTTCATACATTATTGTTTGTTTGTTTCAATATTTAACATGTAATTTGATGCCCAAGGAGCTGTTTATATTTGAGAAAGTGTAAATATAGTTTATATAATAGTAATAGGTGGCATTTGTTAACATTTTCAATTTGATATTTGAATAATATTTGTTATTTAAGTAGATATTTGTGTTATTTGGGCTTTTTAATTAGAGTAACTAGAGTAACCCAAATTGTATTAGAAACTGGACCAAACTATAATAGAACAATTTGATTTGGTTTAGTTTTTGTACTAAAATGGTTTGGTTTGGACTAAAAATTTCTTAAACCATAATTCACAGGTCTGGTTTGAGATCTTCTCCTAACCAGATGAGGTGTTGGGACCATGAGAACCCCTAATTATGAAGCCCCATGGAAAAAAAAAAAGCAATAAATACAAACTTTCTGGGGCATTAATCAGATGAGGTGGTCTCAACTATCTTTTCACCAAAGCAAATTGCAACAGCCATGCCAAAAAATTCCAATCAAAGAATCATGGTTACTATAATTCATAAAAAGTTGAAAAATAACATATTGTGGCTTTACCTACGAAAGGTGGCTAAAAAAAGGAATAAGAAGAGGGCTAAATAACTCACCATTAACTCCCTCTCCTCTTTCTCATTAACTCAATTATCTTTTCTCATTAATTATGCTATTAACTCTATCCTTCAATAATTCACGCAATTAATTTTCTCTCATCCTCATCTTCAGTACTTCATTAAATTGTCTAAAATTCATTAACTTTATCTATATCTATATCCATTTCAGTTTAACTATAATTTTATATGCATTAGATATCTTTCTATTAAATTGTAATTATCAATAAAAAATAATTATATTGAAATAGAGTTATTCAATGATATATTGTTAGGCTAAATAATATACTTCAATTTAAAAGATAATTAATTTTTAAGTTAATATCATTTATTTTAGAATAAATTCTATTTAAACCAATTAACAAATAAAACTAGTGTTTTAAAAATTAGCTTGGAGGTTGAATATATTTTTCTTCTAGGTCATGAGTCAATGGTTCAACCAGATTGGGCAAATCAAACCATGACACATCATCCATCTATATATCTATAATATGATATAATATAATTACATTTTTTGTGAGTATATATTATTTTAGGTTCAATCTGTATTTTTTATTTTAGTTTTTTTAACTTTTTATAAATAGAAGAGCCAGGAATTGAAATTTGAATCACAAAATGAGTTCTTTTTTTGTATAGTGGGTTGCAAAGATCATGAAAAGTTACTCAAAATAAAAAATATCACCCTAATTAGACAATTAGGCACAAAGTCCCCTAGAAGTTTTCAATACATTGTATATAGTAACCCATGACCCAATGGCTAGATCAAAAGGGTCAATGGTTCAACCACCTATGTTGAACCCAAAAATAGAAATAGGGTCAAGTGATGGTTCAAATGGTTTAACCGTCTGAGTCAACGATGAGTTGTAAACATTGAATACAACATCTTAGAAATTATAATCCATTTGTATTCCATTTGAGATAATAAAAATCAATTAACCATAGTAAAAATAATTTATTAAATTACTTAAACAAGATAAAAATGATTTTTAATTATTATTGATAAAAATATTTTTATTAATACAATAAAAAACAAATAAATTAATAAAATTAATAAGATAAAATTAAAATCTAATATCCATTTAAAATTAATACAATCAATACAAAATTATCTAACAATTATTAGTTTTATAATTAATTTTGACAAATGAACTTAAATTCAATTTATAAATAAAAAATTAATATAATTAATTAAATTGAATAAGGATTAATAAAAAGAAAAAATAATAAAAAATATTAACATTAAATATAGTTTAATTAATTTAAAACTAACCTAAATTCTATTTACAACTTGGAAAATTGTAAAAACCTCCTTGGGTTTTCTAACAATCCTATGAACCTCACTATATATGTTTTGACCTTAATAAAAACTTCCCATATTATTTTGAAAAAAGGTGCAGATACTTTCCTTCCCTTAGCACTCAAAATAGAAAATGTTGATGTAATGTATTAATTTTATTAAATACCAAGTTTATTCATAAATAATTGCAAACAAAAAAATATTTTTACCTAAAAATAATACAAAAACAATTAATTACTAACCATAAATTTTTAAAAATTAAAAAAAAGTTTAGTATTAAGGTACGGAAATAATATAGATTTATCTAGATCACAGGAAATTAGCCACTCATTAAAGTGCAACTTAAATTGTGATTGATAAACTAGACATATCCCAAAAAATGCTTGAATTGGACTTGATGAACATTGTTTAATTGAAATAATAAAGCACCTTCCTCAAATTTTCTTAATAAAACCCGTGCATTGCATGGGTCCTCACTAGTAAATTGCTATGGAAAGAAACCTGACTTATCTGATGTGTATTATCTGAGAAATGTGAGAGGGGAAGTTGCCATTGAAAAATCAGCATATATAGCAGTAGAAGTGTATTCTTTCCCATCCAGATGAGCTAGAAACAAAATCATGCACACCGGGCTGGGTTATCTATCATGAATGAATACATGCACCAATGTTAAATACAGATATGGCCCATAGTGAATATACTAGCATGCTTACTTGTGATAGGTAGCCCAGCTCGATGTGCATGATTTAATCTCCGGCCAATTCGCACTGCTTTCTTTAACCATTTTTAATTTCTTCTGTTATTTAAAAAAAAAATAAAAAATATAGAAAAGGAGAAACACAGCGGGAAGAACATTGAAGGGTGCTGAAGATGTTGGTTGAGAGTGAAGGAAAGCAGATGTTTATCATTTTTGTTATTTAAAATTGATTGTTAGGTCTGCAGTTTTGATCATGCAATTAAAAAATTATTAATAATAAGCTAGTGGTGTTGACCACTTCATTGAAACCGTATAATGACTTGAATAGTGGAGAGTTTTAAATACATAACCAATAAACAATGAAACAATAAGCTTTAAATAACAACCAACTTGCTAATATATTTGAGAGTGGTTGGCCTGTCCTGAGCATGAGGCCATTATCCAGAAGGTTTTGAGTTAGAAAGAGAAATAATATATTGTAAGAACGTTGAATGCAAAGTGAATGAAACCTTTACAATTATTTTTTTAGTATTTAATCATACGTCTGCATCTCCCTGTCTTTTTAGGCGATTCTTTACGTTCCTATAATGGGTGTTTTAGGGTATGATTTGATTAAAAAATATAAAAGCGTAGCTTAGTACAGGCCAATATGTCCCAATTGGCATATCAGCCAATATCTATTTAGAACTTGCAGAAATACATTAAGGCTCCGTTTGTTTTTTGGTAAGTTATTTATTTGGGTAAATACAGTTACTTAGATATATTTTTCCTAACCCGGGTAAGTGTATTTACTTATGTTCTTTTATTTTTCATGTAAATAAGGCAATGGCCATTTTGCCATAAAAATTCATTATTAAAAGAGTATTTTTGTCCCATTCAAGTATTGACAATTTTCTCCTTAGGTGAGAAAGTTATTTACCCACCTAAGAGATGGATATCACTTACCCGGATAAGCAACACCCAGAAAAATAAACTTTACCTGGTCCCCATATAAAAACACCCCCTAAATAATTCTTCTCCAACGTCAGTGGTAGCAGGAACAATTTAGCTTACTTAGCTTCTACTGTTGTATAAGGAAAAGGAATTCATACCCTTCCTATTGGCAACCAAACACCAAACATCTCTGAAAAAATAACTTTCTTTTCCGAAATTTTCTTTCACTTTATTTTCCTCACCAACGCCTCCCACCCCCACAAGTGGTTTCAACATTTCAACACTATCCTATTTCATCATGCATCACAGAGACAGCTTAGACCATCTCTTCTAATGCAATTGCTCTAGAAAAAATGAAGTCTAGTTAGCTCCTGTAGAAGCCTTATACTTTGGAAAGAAGTGCCGGCTAGAATCTAAGTAATGCTTCAAAAGAGACAAATATAGACTGAGAGGAACTCAAGAAGATCATGGGTCCCTAACAGTGAAACTAGGTTGGTTAATTTCTGATGCAATTAGCTAGACTCTTTGTTGCTTGACTCCTATTTTCCTTGGGTGTTTCCCAGCTATCTGTTGGACTCTGAAGTGTCTCCTGAGTTCTATGTTAACTAATACATTTCTGATTCTCTAAAAAACATGCAAAAATAAGGAAAAAAATGGGGAAAATTGGTTTTAATAAATTGTGTACTGGTCTCTGATGAAGGTGGGTGGTTTTAAATTGACTTACCTCCAATAGCAATGTAAGGGATTCTATGCTGGCCTCTGATGTAAATTGCATCGGAAACAATCCCGTGGAACCATTTTATGATCTTGGGAATATCTGCTAAGGTCTGCAACAGCTGAAGAGTTGAGGGAGCGGCATTGAGGCTGTCTTTGAGAAAGAAACTCACGCCCATCCATGGGAAGCATTGGAAACCCTGCACCCAGTATCCGAATCCCAGCAACGGTCGGAGTGGATTTCCGGCGGGCCAACTCATTTCGCCAAAGTCGAAGAATCAGGACCCTTTTGAGAAGATGAAATGAAGCCACTACTTTCTGTGGAGGGCAGAGCGGAGCAAGAAATTTCTTTCCTTGGTATTATTTATGGTTTCTTTCATCGAGACTCAGTTAATAGAATTTATATAAATTATGATATCAAGTTCGGATTGCAATAGAAATTGAATAACGTTAAAAGAAATATACTTTTTACCAAAACTACTAATCTATTCTATGGCTGATGAAGTTAAAACTGGATTGATTACTATATCCTATAATATTTTATTATTTAATTATTTTATCCACTAAAACACGTTTAGGCAGTGTTTGGTTTGAAAGAAAAAGTAGGGAAAGGTAAGGAAATCTTTACAAATCATGTATAGGTTTTCGTGACTTTTCCTTCCTTTTTCCACCTTTTCCTTCAAACCAAACATGGCCTTAATTCAAACACTTCAACCAATATCAAGTAACCCCCATTCAAATTTGATGTAGGGTGATTTGGCCCGACTTAGTAATAGAGGGACACGTGGACACGACCTAGCTGACAGAACGACAGCTCACCCCAAATGTATCCAAGTCTGCGACGGACCAAGCTCGGATAATCGAATCATCTCGGGACAGGCCCACCTCGGAAGCGAATCCACTTCGGGACAAGTTCACTTCAGGGCACGATTGCATTAAGATCACCTCGGTTACTAGGCTCCTCGGCGTTCGTAACAGGTTGGTCCCAGGGGGCATCAGTTCGGATAATATTGACCGGCCTCCACATGATAACCCCAAAATTCTCGTCACCGGATTCCATGTTTCACGGGATCACGCCTCGTAATAGCTGGCCTTATCTCCTCCGACCGATTCGGACAGCAACGATATGCCTTATCGGCTGGCGAAGTCATCTCCTATTAATTCGGTAACAGGCCACATCACAGCAAGAATCCCGGAACCACTTCGAAAAACCTGCGAGGACTCCAGTATATAAAGACCCCAACCCTTCGGGGGAAAAGGTACACGTAATCACTGCTCACTAGCTCTCTAGCTTTCTGAATTACCTTCAGTTCGCAAGTTACTGACTTAAGCATCGAAGCGACCTCGCCGAGTAAGCACCCCCGGGTTCTCTGATTCTTTCTGTGCAGATCCACCTAGTCCGTCGTCTACTGAAAGCCGAGTCATCTCCAGCTAGGAGCAGCCAAATTGCGCGGCATCAATTGGCGCCGTCTGTGGGAAGCGCTTCGAAAAGCCTTTTCCATCAAGCATCCTAAACTCATCTTCAATGGCATCTTCCAGCAACACCGTACAAAACACCGACAGGAACACCTCTGGGGGAAACTTCAGGTCCCAACTGTCTATATCGGACAGTTCATCGTGCCTCTTTCTACAGACGGGATCCCCACTCTCAATGTGCCTCAGGTTCTTGCACCAGTGAATGCCCCACTCCCCTAGACGATGGGTGCAACCTTCGCCGAACCTTTTATCATCCCCCCGGCGGTTGGAAAGAATCAATTGGACGACCTGGTGCACTACATGCGGGCTATGCAAGCCTAAATGCAACAGGTCCAGCAGTTTCAATTGTATCAACAGCAGGTCCTGCACCACGTTTATTAGCAGCAGTTTCCCCAATTGTCGTAGAATCAGCAAACTCAACAGTCGGTTCCACCTCGGCATCCGGCCACACAGCAAGTCAAGCCTCACCGCCAGGGCGAGCGTCCTCCTCGCCAGGGAGAGACCTCCCAAGCCCAGAACCCCCTCGGGAGTCTGGTCTCGTCCTATAGCAGGAGGGAGAGACAGGTTACTCCGCCCGCCTCCCAACAGGTGAACAGGTTGGGAGATACCCAGCCTGCCAAGGCCGTATCACCTCGGCCCTCCTAGTTCAAAGTTCTGCTCGTGGAGAACCGATTCGGGGTTCTGGCCATGGATTCTAGACTAGGCCCCTCAGTTCACAGTAGCCGCCGCCAACAATCTGAGCAGCTCCCCGCAAGAACAGTGCCTGATAATACAGAAACTAGTAGCACTAATCCGGAGCCGGTGAAGAAGCAGCAAAAGCGGCGTCGCAAGGATTGCCGAGCTACAGCCCAAAGCCAGCCCGACCAGCCCAAAGGAAAAGAAGAAGCGAGTTCGGGAAMAACGAAGACTACCCCACTCCTCTCTGTACCATCTCCCCTATCCCCTAAGCTCCTGGCAGTTCCAATGCCCAAGGACTTCAAAGTACCTCCCTTAGACAAGTATGACGGGTCGTTCGATCCGAATGACCACGTAAATTCATTTAAATCACAGATGCACCTAGCCGGTAAGGATGAACCCTGTATGTGTGTGGCTTTCTCCACCACCTTTAAAGGAGTAACTCGCACGTGGTATAATGCCCAGGACAATCAAGAGTTGGGCGCAATTCATGCAGATTTTTACCTTGCACTTCATCACAAGCAAGAGGTGCCTGACGTCCTAGGAAAGCCTGCTCGGAATAGTCCATAGGGAGGGAGAATCTATCCGGAGCTACATTAAGAGATTCAATGATGCATGCTTATAGATTCCTGATCTAGACCCCATTGTGAGACTCACAGCAGTCAAAAGAGGTATCACCCACAAAAATTCAAGTGGCACGTGGTCGCCAACAAACCCAAAGATGTTACTGAATTCCTCATGCTCGCTGACCGGTTCATCGGAATAGAGGAAGAGATGAACCAGAAGAGCGAGAATCCATCAGAGAAGAGGAAAAGAGAAGGTGAGACCTCAACTAACGGGGACAACAAGAGAAAGAAGGATGAGCCAGCTCGAGGAGGAGGAAAACTGGATCAGCCTTTCCGAGCTCCTCTAGTTGAAAGAACAAATTACACGCCCTTGAATGCGAAGCGAGCAAAAATCCTCATGGCGATCAAGGACGCTTCTTACATGAAGTGGCCACCTCGGATGAGAGGGGATCCGAACACCAGAAACAGAAATGTATACTGCCACTTTCACAGAGATCACGGTCATAGCACCGAAAATTGTAAAAACCTCCACGACGAGATAGAAGAACTCATCCATCGTGGATATCTGAAAAATTTTGTACTAAATGATAATAAAAATCAAACAGGTTGGCAGGGGGAGCAAGGTAGAGATGCTCCCGAGTCCAGCAATAGGCAGAACGAGCAGCCGTAGAGACAGCTGCCTGAAGAGAGGYCAGTTCGAGGGGTAATACACATGATCACCAACGGATCGATTGTTGTAGGCTGCACCTCAGCCGCGGCAAAGACATCAGCTCATGAGATTGAAAGAGAAGAACAGAATCCTCTAAAGTAGCCAAGGTTAGAAGAGCCCATTTTCTTCATCGAAGATGACGCGCGCGGAGTCTAGTACTCCCATGATGACACGCTCGTCATAAAGATAAGAATTAATGATTTCGAGGTGAGACGCGTCCTGGTCGACTCTAACAACTCGGCGGACATAATCCTTAAGGATGCATTCGACAAGCTGCAGCTTCAGGGGAGCGACATCAAGCTCGCGAACACTCCCTTGGTAGGCTTCAGCGGAGAGGAAGTCAGGCCCCTGGGAAGTGTTACAGCACCTGTGGAGGTTGGTACCTGGCCTAGCATAGCGAGATTCGATCACACTTTCTTAGTGGTTGCAACTCCCTCCCCGTACAACGCCATAATAGGTTGGCCTATCACCCACACTCTACGCACAGTGGTGTCCACCTATTACCTGGCCATGAAGTTCCCTACGGACTTTGGAGTAGGGGTAGCATGAGGCGACCAGCTCGAGTATCGCAAATGCTATGTCGCCGCCCTCAAAGGGAAAGCCAAGGCAAATCGATGAGGTATAGAAGCCAATCCCAACAAAATCAAGGCCATCTTAGATATGAGACCGCCCCGTAAAGTGAAGGAGGTTCAGAGGTTGAACGGCCATATAGCTGCTCTGAGCCGCTTCATGTCTAAGTCGGCAGATCACTGCCTGCCTTTCTTTAAGGCGATTAAAAAGAGCAAAGACTTTGAATGGACCAAAGAGTGCTAGCTCACCTTCGACGAGCTCAAAAGGTATCTGACCAGTAGACCGGTTCTAACCCAACCCGAGGAGGGAGATATTTTGAAGTTGTACCTCTCCACGAGTGACGAGGAGGTCAGCTTGGTACTGATAAAAGAAGTAGATCGAGTTCAACGACGCATCTACTATGTTAGTAAAGTTTTGTAGGATGCAGAGACGAGATATCTAGAGATCGAAAAGCTGGCGTACGCGCTAGTCACTGCAGCTCGGAGGCTTCGACCGTACTTCCAAGCTCATACCGTCATCGTCCTCACCAACAGACCCCTAAGGCAAGTCTTACTCAAGCCCGAGGTCTCCGGCAGGCTGACGAAGTGGGCCATTGAACTCAGCGAGTATGACATCCAGTACGAGCCTCGGACAGCAATCAAGGCCCAAGCCTTGGCTGACTTCGTCGCAGAATGTACCTTTAGCACTGCAATTCCTAAACCAATTGAGCCCGAGCTTAGAGGAGAAGCTTCAACCAATGTGGCACCCCTCCCGGTCAGAGCAGCGCCAACCTGGGAGGAGGAGCACTGAATCCTCCATGTGGATGGCTCGTCAAATCAGCAAGGTAGCGGAGCTGGTATCATTTTGTACAGGCCAAGTGGGGTGAAGCTGGAGTATGCGCTTCACTTCGAGTTCATCGTGTTCAACAATGAGGCGGAGTATGAGTCATTGATAGCTGGGCTTTCCCTAGCAAACGAAGTGAGAGCCAAGCATATTGTCATCTGCAGCGACTCCCAGCTCGTGGTCAACCAGGTCACCGGCGAGTACGAAGCTCACGAGCCAACTATGGTCGCCTACTTAGCCAAAGTCAAAGAGGCTCTACGCGATTTCCAATCGTACTTCATCAGACAGATCCCGAGATCTGAGAACGCTGAGGCTGATGCTTTGTCCTGGTTAGCCAGCACAAGCAACAACACCATTAGGACCGTGTACATAGAAAACCTACCTCAGTCTAGCATTCTCGAGGGGCAGAAGAGGTTGCTCCTGTTGCACAAGCAGAGCTGAG